CTACCATTGATCTCAAGGTCTGTAGTCGTTGGTCACAAGGTCGACTGCCGTTGGTCTCAAGGTCGTCCACAGTTGAATTCAAGGTCGACTGCAGTTGGCCTCAAGGTCGACTGCCGATGGCCTCAAGGTGAAGACCGTTGATCCCAAGGTCAACGAACAACGATCTCAAGGTCGAAAATTGTTGGACTCAAGGTCGGCAGTCGTTGGCCTCAAGGTCGGCTGCCGTTGATCTCAAGCTCGACTGTCGTTGGTGTCAAGGGGAAGACCGTTCTCAAAGCCGACGGTCGGTGACCTCAAAGTCGAATACCATTGACCTCAATGTCGACGGTCGTTGGCCTCAATGTCAATAGCAGTTGGTCTCAAAGTCGAAGACCGTTGACCTCAAATCGGACGACCGGTGCTCCCCCTCCAAAAAACGACGACCGCTCGTATCAAGGTCGAAGACCATTTACTCAGGGGTCGACGACGATTGGCCACAAAGTCAACGACCGTTGACCACGAGGTCGACAGTCATTGGCCTCAATGTCGACCGTCGATAACCTCAAGGTTGAAAGCCGTTGACCTCAAGGACTACAGCCGTTAAAATCAAGGTCGATAGCCGTTAACCTCAAGGCCGATAGCCGTTAACCTCAAGGCCGGCGACAGTTGAACTCAAGACCCACGATAGTTGGCCTCAAGGTGAAGATCGTTGATCTCAAGGTCGACGACCATTGACCCCAAGGTCGTCTGCCGATGGCCTTAAGGTGAAGACTATTGATCTCAAGGTCGTCAATAGTTGGACTCAAGGTCGGCAGTCGTTGGCCTCAAGGTCGACTGTCATTGGTCTCACGCTCGACTGTCGTTGGGGTCAAGTGGAAAACCATTCTCAATGCCGACAGTCGATGACCTCAAGGTCGAATACCATTGACCTCAATGTCGATGGTCGTTGACCTCAATGTCGATACAGTTGGTCTCAAAGTCGAAGACCGTTGACCTCAAAGCGGACGACCATTGCTCCCCCAGTATTAACGACCGTTGGCTTCAGGGTCGATAGCCTTTCTTTCGGCTTAAGGTCGAAGATCATTTACCCAGGGGTTGATGACCATTGGCCCCAAAGGCGATGGGTGTTGACCTCGAGGTCGACAGTCCTTGGCAACAATGTCGAACGTCGATAACCTCAAGGTTGAAAGTCGTTGACCTCAAGGACGACAGCCGTTAAACTCAAGGTCGATAGCCGTTAACCTCAAGGCCGGCGACAGTTGGCCTCAAGGTGAAGACCGTTGATCTCAAGGTCGACGACAATTGATCCCAAGGTCGACGACTTTTAACCTCAAGGTCGACTGCCGTTGATCTTAAGCTCGACTGTCGTTGGTGTCAAGGGTAAGACCGTTCTTAAGGCGCACGATTGTTGAACCCAAGGTCTACGGCCGTTTACCTCATGACCGACGGCCGTTAACCTTAAGGTCGACGACCATTGACCTCAACGTCGACCATGATTATTCAAAATATAATTGACAAACTGCGTAAAAGCAACCGTATTGGTAATGGTAATCTACCCTTGAAGAAACCATGCTGAGAAATGGAAACTTAGCTACAGATCAAGGGGTAAATGTGGTCATACGGAATTATTTCAAATACCTTTGACAACATTGATGACACTTTTTTCAGAGTATATTTTTAGTAATATTTTAGTATCTTTTTTCGGATTGATGTACAGTATATTGCCACTTTATTTCTTGCTGAAAAAGTATGACGGCTTCTTCAAAACGCAGCCTGTATGTAAGATTATAGAGTAAAATACAGATAGATTATTCTACGGTAAGATTACTAGTTACCTGCAAGTTCCTTAGCTGACCCCACTTGGGCCAATGTAAAAGTAGACTCCGTCCAAGCGCCTTGTAAAGTTAATCCTCTGATAAGCAGGATAAACAAGATCACGAAAGGGAATACAGCTGTGAAATATATGACCTGGCCCACTGATTTTATTCCTTTCATTATGCATAAGTTACGTCACCACACCATGAGAATATATTGCATATTAAAAGGTGTGTGTCTATGGAACCGATTTCGTCGATACTTGGAGATATCTTCAGGATTTCAAGACTAAAAAAATATTATTTTCTTTATATTTGACATGGACGTATTTTGTGTCATGTCACAAATATTCGAGATACAAAGCAGTCAGTTACATATCTGCCACCCTGTATATGATTGACTTGGTGATGACATTAGAGTTTGGTGTCTTCAAGTAAAACGCGGGCAATCTTCAGTGGTACATGATAGTCAATTTTACCTAATAAAACTAGATCCTCCTTTACTATGTATTAGTTTGTAAAGAAATTTAATGCTATTACAAATTATCTTCAGCTCAAGAGGATCCGTTTCAAATCTGATTAATCAGTCCCACGACTGGGATAAACACCATCTAATTTAAATGCCAAGTACTTAAGAAATCTCCGCAGCACACTCTTCATCTCATTGGTATGGATTTGATAATACGGATGCTGTAAACTTGATGAGTATTCCAACCTAGAACGCACGGATGTGCAGTATGTCGTAATCTCACTACAGAATGTTTTAAATTTTCGTATTAAAAACCAATACCTTTCATGGCAGATGGTACTGTCGTATGAATATGATCAACACCCAAATATCCTGCTTTAGAGCAACAGACCCTTGCCTTTGGCAACATCCAGAAATAATTCATTAGTCGAACACCATTCAAATATATGATTGCAATATTAGACAGTCAATAATCTGAGCATATATGTATTTTGGAATTATCGGCAAATAACAGTGAAGGAAAAGTTGAACAGTTAAGGAGGTCATTAATAAAATAAAGAAAGAGGAGAGGGCCCAAATTTGATCCATGTGGCACGCCAGATGAAAGAAATGGATGCTTGGATGATTGCTAAATCCAAAATGTTTGACACCATTTTTTTAATGGTTTTGAAAACTATTTTAATCTGTTTTTCTTGAAAATTTCATACTCACTGAAAAAATTCATCGGCCGGCGTCTTTAGCGCGGTCCTATTCGCGATCCTGTAAACGCTGTCGTTCGCGTGGTCCTGGCGATACTCACTCTAAGCTAAATTCATTTTAGAGTTAATTATTGCATTAATTAGAAAAGTCTAGGACGAATAAAGTTCCTTGATTATGTGCTGTCCGTGAAGTAGCAGAAAAGCTGTTTGTACCTTTGTGCATTCTTTTGTGTTCCAAGGGTTGTCGCAATCAGACCATGGCAACGGGTCTTTGAAGGCGTACATCAGGTACATCAAGGGATAAGTGTTGACTATGTTGAAATAGGTGCTTATGATCATATTTACTATGATTATCGCATATCCGGCCCTGAAAATGATTGATTCATGAACCTTCTTGAGTAAAATCGGTAAAATTAGAGCAAAAGTGATTCGAATATATGGAAGAAACAACTTTACGGGTGTCCTCCAGTTTTTTCTAGTAGCATATGCTCCAAAGTCTTAAGATTACCGTGATGTTAGGCTCTGAAAAATAAATCGAACCTAAACAAAACCTAAACTGGTTCTGCTTCTCTGTCAGTTCAAACGTGAACACGACGCTGGCCATGTACGTAAACAAAACCTTTACACGTCGGTTCTAAAAAAACAAAACAAAAACGGCACACTCATACAGCAATATCGGAGCTATTTATACCATTTCAATTCATGGTGAGTGTCTTCAAAATGCTAACGAGGCTTCGCGAGTCCAGATCGTTTTTCACGAATTACTTGTGCGAATTTAGCAATCTGCTGCAGTTCATTCTAAAAGTATACACTGATGCTTGACTACATCGAGCAAAATATGTGTTTCAAAACACTTTGTTATTATAAATGTTGTTGTCTCTGAAAGGGAAAGTCCCAACTTTCACGACATGTATGAAGTGCTAATATTTCAACATACGATTCCTCAAAAAGTTTTATGAAGAAAATTTAGCAATGGTATAGGATGTTAAATGTCTTAGTGACAATGACATATCGTTCTGACACCGCGTAACTCAAAACTGACAAGTTTTTAGGAGTCTTTGAATTTCCTATAGGCTGCCATGCACATCTTATAATCCTCCATGTTTTTCTGGGCGCTAAAGGAAACCACACTGCCTAAACGTGGAAAGTTAAAAAAATTTCCAATACCCCTAAAATTTTTTTAATGATTCTAAGTAACTAATTATTGGTTTAATTAAACTAACTTTTAGAATCAGTTCAATTGAACTAATTTACTGTTACACTAATTTGCTGAAAATAGCAAACCATATACCTGTTGTATTAAAATGTTTAATTAGTTTAGGTAATTTCTTGCTTCTAGTGAATGGTGACATAACCTGTTTCTGGATAATCGAAAAAATACATAGTAAAACTTGATCCAAGATATAATAAGTTCACAATCGATGTAAATAAGAAATATCGAATTTTGAGCTATAAAATTCGGAAGTTTTTATTCGAAAACGTTAAATATCAGTATCAAGTTTTCCAAACTTTTTATATCTAAGAATTGAGCGAGCGCAATTATCAGTAAAATGAATTTGTTCTTTAAATTCCACATATTATCCAAGTATACTTAAATCTAAATAAAATAATTCATTGAAACCAGACAAATGCTTTTACCTAAACTAATTAAACAAGTTTAATAAATATAATTAAACTGTGTTACTTGGAGCAGGTGAGCTCTGTTTGATAGTTCATTAATTTTAAGTAAACTGGTGTACTCAATCTAAGTAAACGGTTTATTAAATTCAATTAAACGATCGCGTTTTGACTAGTTTCATAGATTCAAATGAACTGTTTTAGAAATTGGAGGTTGATTAAACCAACTAAACTTGTTAGTTACCACATAGTCAATTAAACATGTCAATTGGCTGAATTGAAATTTTAATTACTTTAGTTATTTTTCTCAGTGCACATATGCTTGAAATACTGTTTACTGACCAAAATGAACTTTTTTAAGTACAAATATAACTTATTTTAGAGTTACGCGGTATTAGAACTTAAGTGACGATATTTTATTATACGAAGTTGTATTCTTGCTCCACAAGTGGCGTCCCACCAGTGATATTTTCATTGTGATTATTTTTTCTGGTTAGCCTAAGCAATTCTACACGAAAACCCTTGTTTACATTACTTTCTTAGCGATGCACTATTTTTATTAAAACACTGCAAACGCTTGTTAAAATGGCACATACCTTTGAACAGAGGCATATTTTGAACACAGTTATGCAACCAGTACTTGAAAATTGTCCTAAGGCAGATTCCATGAAAAACAACGGAATACCGCATAAGAAAAGCATCAGCAGGTACGGTACTAAAAAGGCACCTGAAAAAAATGTAAAATAAAAATCAATTCATTAGAGATTATTCCCGTACAATCTCCCAACTTTATTTGATTTTTCTTTTTGAGTAATCGAGAGACTGAACTTGGAAGAACAAAATGTATGACGCTTTTGACTCTAATGCAAAGTTTGAAGATATACTAATTTTTCGGTATTTGATAATGAATTTACCAGTACCAGTAGGTTTAAAAACAAAGTCTTTTCCGAAATCGGTCAAGAAAAAAAGTACTTACCTCCTCCATTTCTGTAAGCTAAGTAAGGAAACCTCCAGACATTTCCTAATCCCACGGCATACCCAATACAAGATAGTATAAATTCAGTCTTGTTCTTCCACTTGCCTCTATTCTGTGAACCATTTTGGTCCATCATTAAATCTACGATAACCAGTATATTGATTTAACCGTTATTATTTGTTCGAAACCGATTTCAATTAATAGGTTAATACCAAAAATAAAAAAAAAACATGTGATATTGTCTGTTACATTCTTATGCTCTTTTCAACGCCAGTGTTTGGCATATCTTACCATGTTCGCAATGTGTGAATTGGACATGATGTCGCATATTCAGAATTTAGGCCAAGTAGGCCAATACCAATGACCAACGTTGGCGCTGAATAATAGATATTATACCGTGTATGAACGTTGCATAATCGCTCCTTACGAAAATTAATTCAAACATTAGGAAAAACAGGTGGAAACGTAGCACTTTGAACAGATCAAAATGTTGATTCTCCATGTTCTTCTAACCGTTTGGTAAATCGACATACGTAGATCGTTTCAGGAGGGAAAGTTGTTGTTCTTATTGAAAATTGAACAGGGGGAAAGAGCGGCGGTAGCTCAATCAATACGAATGTCTTTCTGATATTGATTCGCCCTTGGTCCGCTCTTGCCAGGAATACGGATAAATACAAAATGTATTGTCATTGTCAACCTTCAGATGTTCCTTTTCGGACAGAACCAGTCTCAACAAGACGGCGATGAATATTATAAAAGGTTCGACTATCTCTCAAAGCACGATCGGGATATCTCTGGTGATAAATCGGTCTGGCTTGCTCAGCATTACCGTCGGCAAGGCCGTATACGTAATGCATTTCCGCCATTTCTGTATTTGAATAATTCGCCATCATTAACTGGATTGTAAGAACTAAATAATGAAAAAGATGTCACAGCGAACAGATTTGAATACCAGAGACTTGTCAGATGTCAAAAGCCAGTCACATATTCCAGAGCGTCTAGATATTTATTGCTAAATTGCATTCTTCAATTATTACATTAATTTTCTCGGCCAATAGAATGGTTTTTATTTTTTTACCCAAAAATTGTGCATCAATAGGAAACAATTCAAGAAAGATCATTTGTTTTAAATTGAACGGGGAATTCAAAAATAATTTTTATTTGACCAAAAAGCATTGGCGTACCATTTTCTTTTAAATATCGAAGTCAATACCCGTACGCACGCGACTGTTAAAGCTAAAAATTATTTTTTCATTGAAAAATATGCAACTTTATTAACTATAATAATAATAATAATAAAATGTCTTTATTAGGCACATTATATACACTACAACATAATGTGACCTCTACGTAGGCGAAGTCTAGCTCTTGGCTACTCTACTTAACCTACCCAAATACTAAATTGAAACACTCAATCAAAGGAAACTTTGACAAGCAAAAGTCGCTTCAAAACAACGAGCTTGATAGCTTCCTAGCATACATATATACACACATATATTACGTAAAATAAAATAAAATGTAAGAATTAAAAACTAACTTTTCCACAATTACTACAATGACAAATAAATCTGTTTCACATGCTTACGAAATCTGTTTACTGGCCTGGATAGCATTGTAAGTGTATGAACTACGAAATAAAGCTGTTTTATACATAGGGATCTCTAGTCTTTTTTTGTGTCTGAAATCAATGTCTGAATTATTTCGTCTGAAAACAAATTTCTCATAAAGATACAAGGGGGATCTAGAAGATATGATCTTATGTGTAAACACTGCTATATGGTACTTGCAAGCATTTTCTATACACATCCAACCAAGCTGAAATCTCTTTAAGGAAACATGATCATACTTCTTGAGATTAAATACAAATCGACAACAAGTATTTTGGAGTTTTTGGAGTCTTGCTTTTGTGATAGAATCAAGACAATCATAGAACACAGTGCTACAGTAAAATAAGCTTGGAAATATAATAGCCTCGCATAACTTTTTTCTAACTTTAAAGTTCAAAATAGAGCGATTGACATAAAAACACTTTAACGTTGCATAACATTTTTTTAAGATAGACGAAACATGCTCCTTAAACCGTAAAGTATAATCAATAATCAACCCTAAATTTTTTGTAGTATTTACGACAGCTAGACGCTCCTTGTCAATTTTTACATCAAGAGTATACAATATAGTGTTACGTTTGACAGCAGGACAAAAAAGCATCACTGAGCTCTTATCCTTATTGAGCATAAGATTGTTACCATTTGAGTATCCTACTATTGCCTCCAAATCATCATCAAGCTCATTGATTGAAGTATGCAAAGTGTTACTATTAAAGCTCTTATATATCTGTGTATCATCGGCATAGCACATCACAGAAGAGTTTTTCACAGAGCTACCCAAGTCTATAGTATAAATTAAGTACAACAAGGGCCCTAAAACTGAACCCTGAGGGACACCTGATGTTATATCAATCGGACTAGATATAGTGTTGTCATCTCTACTACTTGTTTACGATTTGAAAGATATGTTATAAAAAACATTAGAGGTATGTCTGAAAAACCAAAAAACTTCAATTTAGCACATAAAAGCTCATGATCTATTTTATCGAACGCCTTAGAATAATCTAATGATACAAGTGCTGAAGCATCTCCCTTATCAAGCGAAGCAATGATGTCATCTAAAACCCTTGCTAAAGCTGAAGTTGTACTAAAACCACTGCGGAAACCAGATTGACACTTGGGAAAGAAATCATTATTAGAGAAATAATGATAAACCTGATGTTTAATCAATTTCTCCAATATCTTCGATATAACAGGAATCAAAGTTATAGGTCTTAAGTCTGAGAGACATTTTGGATTTTTACATTTAGGCAAGGGCTTGACAAGAGATAGTTTCCAAGCATCAGGGAAATACCCAGCCTCCAGGCAACAGTTCAATAAATGCGTCAGGGGTAGTAATACTCGAGGCAAGCAAAGCTTCAGCATTGAGACTGTTATACCATCCGAACCTGCTGCATTAGATTTTAGGGACATAATAATGTCTAGCACATTTTGTGGGGTAGCAAAACTAAATTCAAATCTAGCACTTTCATTAATTTTGGTACTATTAAATTTATCAACTAGATCCTTGCAATTGCCCGAAGGCGTGAAAACGGAAGAAAAATAATTGTTTACTTAATCGGCATTCTTCAACTGTGTAGGTAAAGATCTATTTACATTAGTTTTGAGTTTCAATGAATGTACAGCCTTCCAGAGATGCTTGTTACTATTTAGTTGTTCATTGAAGCTTAGATATGCTGCTTTCTCCCGCCTAATAGCGGAAATGACATCATTTCTTAATTTCTGGTAATATTCGAGACTAGCTGGACTTTTTAAAATCTGATATTTTCTAAAGGCTTTATTTCTCTCGGAGATCAAAAATTTTATGCCACCTGTGAGCCATGGAGCATAAGGTTTAGTAATACGTGATGAAACAACAGGAGCATGGACATCAAACAAATCCAAAATATGGTTAGAAAAAACGTAGCTTTATCCTCTAAGTTACTGATGTAATATATATCGTCCCATGGGATTTTATACAAATCCACCAAAAACTGTGTTTAAAGTGTTTAAAGTCTCTATATTTGACAGTCTTTTGAAAATTCTTAGGCCGTGTGATGTTGAAGTCACATCTGACTACATTATGATCTGACAAATTCGGAACAGGTACAGAGCTAGTTGAAATTAATGAATCAGCTAAGTTATTTGTTGTACAAATGACATCTATGGAGGTTGCCGTGGTTAAAGTTATCCTAGTTGGTTGGGTGATGTGAGATACCATATCGTAGCACGCAATGCAATCTAGAAAAGAATGGTCAGTAATTTGATCAACGTTTATATCACCCAGCAAGCATATATTATCATACTGAGGAGACACAAATGAGAGAAAGTTGTCTATATGATCAATAAAACATGATAATCTGCTCGAAGGAGCTCTGTAGATAACACAAACCAAAAGTTTTAGATTATTCAACATTATTTCAGCACAAACCTGCTCCATACCATCTGGACATAAAAAATCTTGCAATACCAGCTTACCTCTCAGTGAATCCCTTAAATAAACACCAACTCCTCCTCCACGTCCTACTCGATCAGTATGGAAAAAAGTGTACTCAGGAATATTTACTATATCTGCTGTAAAATCATTATTAATCCATGTTTCGGAGATACCCATAATATCATAGTTATCAGTAGTCAACAAATCTACAAAGGAATCAAAGCCAGCAAACAGAGATCTTACATTCAGGTGTCCAACAACAAAATGGTTATAAGTTTTTGTGCAATTATTCATAAGCAATCTGCATTTTCAAATTATCGATCTTCATTTTGTAATAACTCTCACTACGTACTGAATATCAGTGAAATAACTGAGGCGGTTCTGAAAATATTAATTAATTTCCATTTTTTTCCTAAAACTTCATCACCCCGTGTTTTTTTAAGGAAACATTTTTGGACCATAGTGTATAAAGCAAACTAACATTAATTTTCCATGTAGATTCGCACGCTTAAAGAGGCGGAACGTCATATTGAAATTCTAATAATCTTGTAGAGAAGATGTCAATGGGCAATTTATACTAAGTGACATATAAATCCGAACACCCAGTTTAAATGGTTTTATTTTAATAAAATTTTGTATAAGTACTCAATGAAGCTTAATAAGTAAATGATAAAAATTTCAAAATGATTGCACTGCTTTAAAGCCCTTTGACCTTTAATAATGTGTGGATACACCCTGATGTGCTACGCATTCTCCAACGCGCCTAGGCATGCTTCTGATCAGGTGGTCAATGACCTCCTGTGGTATCTCATTCCAGGCAACCACCAACTCCTCTCGAAGTGCTTCTAGAGTCTGAGGAGGACGTTGCAAATTGAGCAATCTCCTACCCATCATATCCAACACGTGCTCAATTGGGGATAAGTCGGGAGATCTTGGTGGCCATGGTAACAATGTGACATCATTATGTTGAAAGAAGTCTATTGTGACCCTTGCAACATGTGGTCGGGCATTATCTTGTTGGAAAGTTGGATCTGCCAGGGTGTCAATATAGGGTAAAAGATGGGGTTCTAGAACTTCGTGGATATAACGCTGCGCGTTCATGTTACCTCTGATGAAGATTAAAGGTGACCTGGAACCATAAGCTATAGCACCCCAAACCATAACTCCAACAGTGTGATGAACATGTCTTTCAACAAAAAACTGTGGATTCCATCTTTCACCACGTCGCCTTCTAACCCTGGCACGACCATCGTGCATGCCTAAACAAAATCGAGACTCGTCACTAAATACAATACTGTTCCATTCCTGATCCCAGAGTGACCGTTGTCTGCACCACTCAAGGCGATTACGTCGGTGTTCTCGAGTTAAAGGGAGGACCCAGTGTGGCCGGTATGAAAACAAGCCAAAAGCCAAAACTTCTCATTCATCGGTAAACACTTCGCATGCCAATAGGTCTTCCGTGTTCTGCAAACCATTCACTTGCAATGGACCTGGTAGTGGAGAAACGGTCCCTTAAGGCCAATAATCTTAGGCGGCGATCTTCACGGTCTGTTGTTCTACGGCGGCGTCCAGTGGCCCTTGCTCTTTGCGTACGGCCTTCTCGAAGCCATGCCTGACAACACCTAACCACAGTGTCTACATTTCTTTGCACTCTAACTGCAATTGCCCGAAAAGAAATTCCAGCTTCCCGAAGTCCCACTATACGGCCCCTATCAAACTCACTAAGTTGACGAAATCGTACAGGTCTCCGTACTCTAGGCATCGTAACCGATCGTAAAGGATGTCAAGAACCAAAATCCGCCAACGTTGATTCTTTACTAGGGCTGAAATATTCATTTTTAGAGCGTTAGTGAATTAAAAAAAAGCAGTATAAAAACCGGAATGTCCAACTGATAAGGCTGAAAATTTTTTCACTTGTTATTTACAGTAAGATAAATACATTCACCAACTTTTATTAAAATAAAACCATTTAAACTGGTTGTTCGGATTTATATGTCACTTAGTATATTTTGAAATCCCACTACAAGTAAAACCAAGAAAAAATCAAAGAGATTTTGGGGCATTTTTTTCGTCTACCTCTGAGAATACTTTGAATTTATAAACTTTTTGAGCTGCATGTTGTTAGTTACCCGAATACGCACGATCTCAATGGTCGAATTTGTAACATCCGGTAAAACATTAAGAAAAAATCTATTTTTATATAATTTTTCCGCGCTTACAATACATTCTCGCCAGTAGTGTACGAAGTTGGTGATCAAAACGTCAATTTGGTTTTATTTATCGCCAAGAAAAACATGGAGAATGAAATGTTAAAAATGTCTACAAATTGTGGCCAAATGCAAGTTTTATCTATAAATATATTACGACAGAAAATGTTAATAGAGTACTTACTGTTCCACTGCTCCAAACTTCTATACGAAATAAATAGTATACCGCTAGGGTTTATTTATGTTTGCTCTCATTATTTTAATAGAATAATATTTCACTTAACGCTGCGGCCATCGCATTGACAGTAAAGACTTTTCGGCTTGGACCCATACAAGGTGACCTACAATAATGTCTACGACCTCACAGCATGTTGCTCATAAAATGACACTGAAATTGGTTCAGCGTTTACTGAAATTGCGCGGTATCGACAGGCAGACCTTTTTGATCCAGTTTTTCACCTGTGTAAGCTCGAATAAGAAGCAGAGGCCTAGATGGGTGCGTGCAGCAGGCCTAGGCCCTAAGGCATCTAAGAGGAGCATAGACATTTGGCATATAGGTAAAACAGAGCCAGTTGACGCCTTCTATGTTTTCGGTTAAAACTAAGAAATAACACTGGTTTTGTTAAAACTATTTATTGTCTTCGTTATCACGTAAGGTTACAAGTTTTTGTTGAGATGGATCTTCGACATCGCATCCCAGCGTCTTATGTGACCATTTTGATCTGTCTTGTGGTTTCGATGGACCCCAACTAGGTAGCGGTGTCAAACTGCGTTTTACTCTCTAAAAACGATAAGATATTTTGAGTCATTTCAAAACCGAGAAACATGTCCGGGAGTTAAACATAAAATCATATCAAAAAGGCATATGATAGCAGTGAAATAAAAAATATTGTCAGCAATGCTGTCAGCAGTTCTTAAAGGACTTTATGTTGGGCATTAATTAGATTCTCTGAGAAAAAAGTTACGAACATGTATAACAAAAAGATGGATCAAGTCAGTCAAACAGGCCTATGCATTGTCCAAACCCGTTTGACAACGTTTCCATCTAGGAATAGAGTGACACCGTTTTTATCATTTTCGGAATTTTCCGCGATTACAATACTTCCTCACCAATTGATGCGGGAAGTAAAAAACTATAAACACGAGCATATTGAGGTCTATCTATTCTGATTAAAATTTCGTTCGTCAAAGCAGGTATTCTTGAAAGGTTTCCAATTAGTTTGAATATGAATATATTCAGTGGTATGGTTGCAGTACGATCTGACTTACCTGAATCAAATCGCCTTTTTCTATGAATAACAGTCTGTAGACCATGTACAATGGAATGCATAGGATAGATACAGAGCATGATACCCAACCGATTTGGATTGCCCATTCCGGAAATTCGTGACCCATATACGATACTCTCGCGTTGAAGGCAATGACTGTCGCCAATATAAACTGGAAATATGATGAGATATTAAAGAATGTCCGAAAATCAGCACAAGTGTTTCTTGTTTACACAGTTTTTTCTACAGACTTATAAAGTATGCAGGACTCATCTATCGAAATGAGGCAGTGCAAAGCTTCATCTATACTAAGTGACATATAAATCCGAACACCCAGTTTAAATGGTTTTATTTTAATAACAATTGGTGAATGTATTTATCTTACTGTAAATAACAAGTGAAAAAATTTTCAGCCTTATCATTCGATCATTCCGGTTTTTATACTGCTTTTTTTTAATTCACTAACGCTCTAAAAATGAATATTTCAGCCGCAGTAAAGAATCAACGTTGGCGGATTTTGGTTCTTGACATCCTTTACGATCGGTTACGATGCCTAGAGTACGGAGACCTGTACGATGTCGTCAACTTAGTGAGTTTGATAGGGGCCGTATAGTGGGACTTCGGGAAGCTGGACTTTCTTTTCGGGCAATTGCAGTTAGAGGGCAAAGAAGTGTAGACACTGTGGTTAGGTGTTGTCAGGCATGGCTTCGAGAAGGCCGTACGCAAAGAGCAAGGGGCACTGGACGCCGCCGAAGAACAACAGACCGTGAAGATCGCCGCCTAAGATTATTGGCCTTAAGGGACCGTTTCTCCACTACCAGGTCCATTGCAAATGAATGGTTTGCAGAACACGGAAGACCTATTGGCATGCGAAGTGTTTACCGATGAATGAGAAGTTTTGGCTTGTTTTCATACCGGCCACACTGGGTCCTCCCTTTAACTCGAGAACACCGACGTAATCGCCTTGAGTGGTGCAGACAACGGTCACTCTGGGATCAGGAATGGAACAGTATTGTCTTTAGTGACGAGTCTCGATTTTGTTTAGGCATGCACGATGGTCGTGCCAGGGTTAGAAGGCGACGTGGTGAAAGGAGGAATCCACAGTTTTTTGTTGAAAGACATGTTCATCACACTGTTGGAGTTGTGGTTTGGGGTGCTACAGCTTATGGTTCCAGGTTACCTTTAATCTTCATCAGAGGTAACATGAACGCGCAGCGTTATATCCACGAAGTTCTAGAACCCCATCTTTTACCCTATCTTGACACCCTGGCAGATCCAACTTTCCAACAAGATAATGCCCGACCACATGTTGCAAGAGTCACAATAGACTTCTTTCAACATAATGATGTCACATTGTTACCATGGCCACCAAGATCTCCAGACTTATCCCCAATTGAGCACGTGTGGGATATGATGGGTAGGAGATTGCTCAAATTGCAACGTCCTCCTCAGACTCTAGAAGCACTTCGAGAGAAGTTGGTGGTTGCCTGGAATGAGATACCACAGGAGGACATTGACCACCTGATCAGAAGCATGCCTAGGCGCGTTGGAGAACGCGTAGCACATCAGTGTGCATCCACACATTATTAAAGGTCGAAGCGCTTTAAAGCAGTGAAATTTTGAAATTTTTATCATTTACTTATTATGCTTCATTAAGTACTTATACAAAATTTTATTAAAATAAAACCATTTAAACTGGGTGTTCGGATTTATATGTCACTTAGTATATTACCAGAATCTACTACTACGAGAGTGTATGTCAGCTATCGGTTGGAGCTTTAAGACCCGATTTCACTATTTATTTACGGGAATCAAAATTTGGGCATAGGGCACAAATTGTACCAACAGGAAGAAGTTATGAATTTCATCGATTTCTTGTAAAATGTCTCGTAAACTAGAGAAAATGAGAAAAATTATACGAATTGTGTACGTATACAGGGTGTTTCACAACTTATAAGTCAGTGAACTGAACTGTATTATTTTATTGTCTTGATTTCTGTAGGACATTTATTACATTTTTTTTTTTTTGAGAAATCAATTTCTTTCGTAACAGTACATACGTAGTTAAAGTCTGTCGCATAAGTTGTGAAACACCCTGTATACTATATGCTATATACTAATACTATATACTATACTACTTTCACTATAGTACGCTATTACTATTATACTATACAGGGTGGCGCATTGAAAACGAAACAGACGCATTTACTGGCAGCTCAGTTTTTTTTTTTTAAACGCTCAGACCCGTCGATTTTGTTTTCGAGAGGGACACAAGTTTGGCAACAAATCACGTTAGCACGTGCAACCCCAGAATCTTAAATGGAAATTCCCTTTATAATGATATAAAATTAATGTACTTCAGTTCAGTAGTTTTGAAGATTTATTGATTTAAAGCTTAAAATAGACTTTAATAGGTAAATCAGATTAGTTTGTACTACTTTCAGAAGAAATTTGACTAAAAGAATTTACTTAATAAGTAAATGCTTTTCTTCACTACGCCCATGGTTTGTTTATGATTTTGTTGTTGAAAATAGCTATTGGAGCGTTTTTTTGTGGCAAAAAAGTCATTTCTTGAAGAAAGATAAGGAAATATCTCGTACTTATTTTAAAGGAATTTACTATCTACATAGTTTGCGATTCATTTGACCAAGGCTTGTTGCTAAGATAACTTGTAACGCTTTATTACATAAATTAACCATGGTATATTCCACAGCAGAAAGAGTTGAAATTATCGAAATATTTTTCGGAAATAATCAGTGGGCTCGAGGGAACAACATCGAAGATAAAATTTGTTTTTCGAACATCTGCGGGATCAACAGCAACATTGATGCTGTTCATCACTACCTGCAACCCAATCGTCCCGCCGTGCTTTTCTTGGCGGAGACAAAAATCTCAGAGGCTGCACCGATTAACCATCTCAACTTCCCAAACTACGAGGTGCACTCCAATCTGAGAAAGAACGGGGGAGTTGTGGCTTTTGTCCGCAGCAGTCTTTCCTGCTCCAGGGATCTTTCTTTGGAATCAGACCGGAAGGACATTCTGTGGCTTCGCCTCAACTCCAAACCATCACCCAAATTTATTTGCTGCCTTTATCGCTCTCCCTCGAACCATAACTGGGATGACCTACTCGAATACCTCGCCGTCCAGATCGACTTCCTGAACATCAATCACCCCGCTTCAGAGGTAGTTCTTCTCGGTGATTTCAATGCCCATAATGAGCTTTGGTTGGGCTCAAATAAGACCGATGCAGCAGGTCGTGCAGTCGAAGCGTTCGCTCTTACTCAAGGGCTGACCCAGCTGGTGACGAGCCCTACTTTTTTCCCCCGCGTCTCGTCACACGCCAGTAGCCTGCTGGATCTCTTTCTGACCACGCATCCTGCCCCTTACAGCACTGCCGTCCTGTCCCCCCTGGGTAACTCAGATCACGGTGTTGTGGAGGTTAGGTTTCGGTCAGAAGCCGCTGTGGCCGCAGAAACTCGCACAGGCCGCAAAACTTGGCATTACGGACATGCCGACTGGGAAGGGCTCAGAGACTTCTTCTCTAGCTTTCCTTGGAGAGACGTCTGTTTCACTGACGCGGATGCGTCGACTGTCTGTTCTTCAATAACCGAAATTATCCACGTCGGAATGGAGGAATACATCCCTCACACAGTGAAAGTTCCTAAACCAGGGTCCAACGGCTGGTTCAACAAATCGTGTTACACTGCTCGCCAGCAGAAGATCAAGGCCCACAGAACCTACTTACAAAACCCCACTGTAGAGAACAGACAAGCCGACGTCGAGTCCAGAAACAAATATAACGAAGCGGTTCGCAATGCCAAAACCCAGCATGATATAAAAGTTAGGCACAGGGTAATGTCGCAGCGCAATGGCAGTCGGTCTTTCTGGACGCTGGCCAAGCAGATTGAGAAGAACTTCTCACACAGTAGCCTTCCACCACTTACGTGTCAGGATGGAACTATTGTATTCGACTCAGAGGCCAAGGCGGAAGTGCTAGCCAAGATCTTTGCTGCCAACTCCACCATGGACGTCCCCACCAACGCCCAAGTGCCGTCAATTCAAAGGGTTCCCCACACTATGCGGGAGGTAACATTCAGGCATAAGACCGTAAGACGAGTGCTCTTGTCGCTCGACATCAACAAAGCTTCTGGTCCGCACTTGATTCCTGCCATTGTACTGAAGAGATGTGCAGCTGAGCTTGCTCCAGTTCTTTCGCGTCTCTTCCAGATATCTTATGAATCCGGCACCTTCCCAGAAAACTGGAAATTTGCTCATGTACAGCCCATCCCAAAAAAAGGATCTAAAACCGACCCTTACAACTACAGGCCTATAGCTCTGCTTTCTGTTATAAGTAAAGTGATGGAGAGGTGCATAAATCGCGAGCTTCTGGACTACCTCGAACGTCACAGCTTGATTAGCGACAGGCAGTACGGTTTCCGGCACCAACGATCCACAGGGGACCTCCTAGCTTACGTCACGCAACTGTGGAGTAAACTCATCCAGTCTCATGGTGAGGCTCATGTCATTGCTCTTGACATCACGAAAGCGTTCGATCAGCTGTGGCACGCTGCCCTCTTGAGCAAACTTCCATCCTACGGCCTCCCAGAAAAGCTTTGCAGATGGGTGGCTGACTTTATCTCTGGCCGCAAGATATCCGTCGTAATTGACGGATTCTCCTCTTCATCCCACAACGTTAACGCGGGTGTTCCCCAGGGATCGGTCTTGGCTCCAACACTGTTTCTCTTACATATCAACGACCTCCTTTCCTGCACGATCAACCCAATCCACAGCTTCGCTGATGACAGCACTCTACATGCAGGAATTCAGAGTGACAAGCCGATCTCTGCCGCTGAGCTGGAAAAAAGAAGACTAGCGACGACTTCTTCTCTGACAAGAGACCTGGAGGCTATCACTGCTTGGGGACGCAACAATCTTGTACAGTTCAATGCTTCCAAAACACAGTACTGTACTTTGACGAACAAAAAGCGTCCTAGCGCTCATACAGTTTCGATGGACGGTCGAGTCCTACCAAAGAGCCATTCATTTCGGCTGGTCGGAGTCCAGATCACCGAGGACCTGATCTGGCACGAACACATCTCTTCAATAGCTGCAGCTGCTGGGAAAAAGCTAGGCTATTTGTTTAGGGCTAAGAAGTACTTTTCTCCGCATGACCTTCTCACTCTATACAAGGCCCAGATAAGGCCTAGCCTCGAGTATTGCTCACACATTTAGGGTGCTGCCGCCCCGACTACATTGTCCATGCTCGATGCTGTCCAGAGGAGGGCGGTCCGACTGATCGATGACTCTTCTCTAACAGACAGTCTCGGGACTCTTTCGCACCGGCGGGCCGTCGGCGATCTGGCTCTTTTCTATCGCTACACCAACGGGCTTTGCTCCTCAGAGCTCTCTTCCATGATGCCGCCGCGCGATGTGCCTGCCAGACAGACCCGCCTGACTTCGGCGTCCCATCCTAACCGTGTCAAACTTCGTACATCCAGAACTGGCCGATACGACCGCTCCTTTGTCCCGAGGGTGTCTAGATTGTGGAACAAACTACGGGAGGAAGCTTTTCCCAGTTCTACTAACCTTAGGCAGTTCAAAAATCGTATTAACAAAATTTCTTTGGGATCATCATAGCAGCCGCGGTGTTCCGGCATTTAGGCTTCTGCCTGCGCGGCTGTTTCGATATAAAAAAAAAAAAAAGTGTGCTAATAGAACAGCAGAAATATTCAATGAGCGACATGAGAACAGTAACGTGCATCGAAAATATGTTCTAGAATTTGTAGCTAAATTTCGGGAAACTGGGTCAGTCGTCAGTAAAAAACGCAACATTGAAAATATTGTATTTTCCATCATTATAAAGGGAATTGAAAGACCTTTAAAATATGGTATCACTCGACCGCCCTTTCCTTTTAAGATTTTAGGGTTGGTGTCACCCCCGCCCAGGGGGCTGCACGTGTTAACGTGATTTTTTGCCAAACTTGTGTCCCCCTCGAAAACAAAATCGACGAGTCTGAGCGTTTTTCCAAAAAAAACCTGAGCTGCCAGAGTAAATGCGTCTGTTTCGTTTTCGATGCGCCACCCTGTATTATGGTCTAAATCTGCAATTGTACATTACAAACGTCTAAGTTGGAGATCTGTACCGTACCGTGAGACAGGCTGGAGTGATTATTTTCCAAGAAAGAATCCAATACCAGGATATCTTTTCTCCTGTCATGAATTCCACATCTTTGGCGAACCTTTTGACTCCATATATCCATCCAATTATAATAACCTCTGACAGACAGATGAGGGCCACAGCCATCGAGGAGACGTACCAATCGAAAAGTTGTAACCAGTACATGCCGGCCTGTAAATGCAATCACTTTTATTTCCAAGACGATATTAAAGACAAAAGATGTTTTTCATTGAAAAAACAATCTCGGCTGTTAAAAAATGATGTGCCAATCGATTTTCCATCGGTTCACCTAGTTTTTCTACCAAAAATTTCCGTTTTTCCTCCATTGGTTTAGATAGCCAGATTTTTTAGACTATTTAAAACGATCAATACACATCGTATCTTCATCGTCTTACTACGTTTTTCCAGCAAAAATTTTCATTTTTCCACCTTTAGGTTACAAGAAAAGCAACCAAGGACATGTGAAGTTAGCCCAGTTAGTCAAATTTAAAAAAAAGTGAGTACCATGGATTTTCCATCGTTTTACCATGTTTTTCCAACCATGTATCTCTAACTTTGTATAAAAAAAAGAGAGAAGATTTTTTACGGTTATTTGAAGTTAGCGTAGAAGTCTACGAGAATATCCTACTACCTACTCTTTTTCACCACAAAACAACTTTTTCCACCTGACTAATATGGAAAATTGAAGGTCGGGTCACACGTAGACAGCCTGCATTTACTCATACTTTTGTACACCAGGCTACGTGGAAATCATCGAAAATAATAATAATAATAATAATAATATACGCCTTTATTAAAAAAAAAAAGTACACGGTACATACTGAAAGTGGGACTCAACTGGCGAAGTTTAGCAATGCTACTCTTACACTTAACCACTGAATCAATAAATACAGTGATGTTAAATTAAAAACATATATACTTCGAAGTTGAGTCATTTATTTTAATAGTGAGTAGAACTGATCAAAAGAAATGTTTTTTCCTTTACCATTTTTCTGGTAAAATTAAAGTAACAAAGTTATAGCCCTTTGGAAGTTTGAGTACCGCCCTGTCTCAATAATAATATTATGTGCTCGTGTTTGGCGACAACGGATATAATCCGCCTTACCGGTTCATCGCATCGGAAACAAAAAAGCGAAAGAATTTGGAACGATGTTTTTACAATTATTTCATTCAGTCAGTGTCAGTCGGTAGTGAATAGTGGTGTAACTGTTGCGTGGCTCAAACGAAATAAAAAATGGCACATGTTTATGCGGATCGGTTTCCCAATCGAGTGCAACCAACCCCTCGTGGCTTTGTTAATGTAGTACAACGGGTTCGTGAATCAGGTGACTTAAGACCTCACATATGGACAGCATGCCGGTGCTCCAAGACCTCACGATCAAATACACGTCCGCACTGAAATACTTGTCGGGAGGATACTTTATAAAACAAGGTAGAAATTCTTTTTTATTTTTACACACTTATTTTGGTTTATCTTCCTTCTACAATCATTATCTGAAAATTAATGACTCAACTTCAAAGTCACCCTGTATATATATACACATATATACATACACACATATATATATACACACATATACATATATACATACACATATACACATACCTATATATACATATATGTCATGCGCCTAAAAATAATATTAGCTTCTCAACGTAATAAATATAAAGTCTGATTGGATGATGAATGTGGAAAGGATAGTATCAGTCAAGCAGCCTGATCCTTACATGCTTACGAAAACTTGGTAAGCTCATACATTTAAAGGAATATTCCAACGAATTATATAGAACCGCCGAATTATAAGAAAAACTGCGGGTGAATAAGACTGTAGAGTGAGGCGGAATTCTGATACTCAACCTATCTCTAAGCCAACCGATCATGAACAACAAAGTTAAATAGAAGTTTTTCTCTCAAGTAGGCGAGCTTTGAAGTGGTTATTACGTTGTGAATAAATACTAGATGGTGATATTCGACCAATTTATCAAATTTGAGCTATTTCAGCGTCCTGTATTTCTGTGATACATGGTCAAATTTTCTCAATCCACATATAAAACGGACACAATTATTCTGTATAATTTGAATTCTATTTTTCGTTATTTTGTCAAGGCATGGGAAATAAAGGATGTTACAGTAGTTCAAACAAGACATCACTAGCGTTTCACACAGTTTTTTCCTGAGCTTATAGTTCAGTAAGTACCTACAAGAGTACAAAGTGCGTAGGCGGACGTAGGTTTTTTGAGCAAGACAGTTGATATGATTATAAAACCTTAACTTCTCATCGACCTCGACACCTAAAATCTTGACAGTAGTACCAACTTGAAGAAGATTTCTGTTACCTTTGACGTAGTTTCTTTTATTATCAAAACAGAAAACTATGATTTTTGACTTCTCAGGATTAACTAATAAATTATGATTGGCTGAATATTTACAAACCATGTCAATATCATGTTGTAGCCTATATTAGCTGTTGGTAATTCACTAGCTTTAAAATAATGTACTATTTGGGTATCGTCTGCAAAAGATTGCATTTCAGAATTTTCCATTACTGCATATAGATCGAAGGTGTAGATGAGGAATAAGAGAGGACCTAGGATAGAACCCTGAGGCACTCCAGATGGTATGACACTTGGGACAGAGCTCTGTCTAGATAGAGAAACTTCCTGAACTCGGTCGGTTAAATACGCACAGAAAAATTTAAGTGAGGTATTATCAAAGCCAATATATTTCAATTTAGCTAGAAGAAGGATATGATTGATTCTATCAAATGCCTTAGAGTAATCAACCGATATCAAAGCTACTGTGATCTTTTTATCAAGCGCACGTAGCACATTGTCGCATAGATTTAATAAGGCAGCTGTTGCACTATAGTGTTTTCTGAAACCAGACTGATTAGTGGATAAGATTTTGTTTTTCCATCCTATCACTTCGATTTTCCACCAAAAGTTTCCGTGTTTCCATCTTTGATTAATAAAAAAATCTACCGTTTTTTCGACTTCACCAGCCGTTTTCGATCGCGTTTCTTCCTCCTACCGCGACGGCTTTCGCTCGTCCGTAAAGCGCCGAGTTTCTAGTTTCCGAAACGGTATCGCTTTCCATCGCAAGGTTTCGCGAACCCGGAAAAAAACCGGAAAAATCGGAAAGTAGCGCGTAGTTGAGGAATTTAAAAAAATCGAAACTTTCAAAAGAAAAGGGATAAAGAAAAAAAAGACGCTATCTTTGAGTTCGATGTCCGGGCTTTCTCGTGCAAAAATCGTCAGGTTCGTAGCTCCATTATCTTCGGAGGAAATCGAAGTTGAACGTCGAACAGCACGAAAATCTACCGTTTTTCGACTTTACCGGCCGTTTTCCATCGCGTTTATTCCTGCTACCGCGGCGGCTCTCGCTCGTCCGTAAAGCGCCGAGTTTCTAGTTTCCGAAACGGTATCGCTTTCCTTTCGAACGTTTCGCGAACCCGGAAAAAAACCGGAAAAACCGCGCCGACTACAAACGCTCTGATCCGCTCTCGAAACCTAAATCCTACCAAAAACAAATGATCACCGCTTAATATCGTCGACTAGCTATCAATAATATTTTCTAATCTGACGAGTTTAAAAAATGCAATCGGCTAACGTATTGTATATGGTTCAACAAATCGTGTGACACTGCTCGCCAGCAGAAGATCAAGGCCCACAGAACCTACTTACAAAACCCCACTGTAGAGAACAGACAAGCCGACGTCGAGTCCAGAAACAAATATAACGAAGCGGTTCGCAATGCCAAAACCCAGCATGATATAAAAGTTAGGCACAGGGTGATGTCGCAGCGCAATGGCAGTCGGTCTTTCTGGACGCTGGCCAAGCAGATTGAAAAGAACTTCTCACAGGGTAGCCTTCCACCACTTACGTGTCAGGATGGAACTATTGTATTCGACTCAAAGGCCAAGGCGGAAGTGCTAGCCAAGATCTTTGCTGCCAACTCCACCATGGACGTCCCCACCAACGCCCAAGTGCCGTCAATTCAAAGGGTTCCCCACACTATGCGGGAGGTAATATTCAGGCATAAGACCGTAAGACGAGTGCTCTTGTCGCTCGACATCAACAAAGCTTCTGGTCGGGACTTGATTCCTGCCATTGTACTGAAGAGATGTGCAGCGGAGCTTGCTCCAGCTCTTTCGCGTCTCTTCCAGATATCTTATGAATCCGGCACCTTCCCAGAAAACTGGAAATTTGCTCATGTACAGCCCATCCCAAAAAAAGGATCTAAGACCGACCCTTACAACTACAGGCCTATAGCTCTGCTTTCTGTTATAAGTAAAGTGATGGAGAGGTGCATAAATCGCGAGCTTCTGGACTACCTCGAACGTCACAGCTTGATTAGCGACAGGCAGTACGGTTTCCGGCACAAACGATCCACAGGGGACCTCCTAGCTTACGTCACGCAACTGTGGAGTAAACTCTTCCAGTCTCATGGTGAGGCTCATGTCGTTGCTCTTGACAACACGAAAGCATTCGATCAGCTGTGGCACGCTGCCCTCTTAAGCAAACTTCCATCCTACGGCCTCCCAGAAAAGCTTTGCAGATATCTCTGGCCGCAAGATATCCGTCGTAATTGACGGATTCTCCTCTTCATCCCACAACGTCAACGCGGGTGTTCCCCAGGGATCGGTCTTGGCTCCAACACTGTTTCTTTTACATATCAACGACCTCCTTTCCTGCACGATCAACCCAATCCACAGCTTCGCTGATGATAGCACTCTACATGCAGGAATTCAGAGTGACAAGCCGATCTCTGCCGCTGAGCTGGAAAAAAGAAGACTAGCGACGACTTCTTCTCTGACAAGAGACCTGGAGGCTATCACTGCTTGGGGACGCAACAATCTTGTACAGTTCAATGCTTCCAAAACACAGTACTGTACTTTGACGAACAAAAAGCGTCCTAGCGCTTATACAGTTTCGATGGACGGTCGAGTTCTACCAAAGAGCCATCCATTTCGGCTGGTCGGAGTCCAGATCACCAAGGACCTGATCTGGCACGAACACATCTCTTCAATAGCTGCAGCTGCTGGGAAAAAGCTAGGCTATTTGTTTAGGGCTAAGAAGTACTTTTCTCCGCATGACCTTCTCACTCTATGCAAGGCCCAGATAAGGCCTAGCCTCGAGTATTGCTCACACATTTGGGGTGCTGTCGCCCC